TTTCTGCTGTTGGTAACCAGATTAGGAAAGACTAAACATGGCAACTTACTTGTCAACACATGTTCAGTAATATTGTGTAAATTTCAAGAAATAAATACGTGTGCAAATAAAGTTCTTGTTGATTAGCATGAATTTTCAAAATAAAGATTTTATGTTATTTTTCTATTTTCTGCTGTTGGTAACCAGGTGAGGAAAGTCTAGACATGCCAACTCAAATGTCAGCAGATGTTCAGTAATATTGTGTAACTATATGCAGCTTTAGTAAGAGTAAAATTTAAACAATGTTATCAACTCAAGACTAATCCTATACACACATTTGCACAGGTTCAGTTTTGGACATCAGAGCTGGAGAAAATGCAGAAACGCCATGAGGGACAACCAAAGCATGTAAAACAAGGCAGCTTAAGTTCTTCCTCATCAAATTCAACAGTAAGCTCCATTGCAAGCAAGTATGATGTGAATCAACTCAAGAAGGAGATATCTCAAGCCAAGTCCAGGGTATGCAATAATACTCCAGACATTTTGTTTTGGTTGATCTTGGGAAAGGCAGCATGAAACAGGCCTCAGGAATGATGCTGTAGTTTCACTCATGAGATATACAAACAAGGCATTTTTACACAGGAATGTAGCTTAAGAGCTGGCTAATTTCACCAGCTAGAAGAGAGATTATCACCAGCTGAAATTTACCAGTAAACAAAACCTTGTGGTGATTTTAAAGGTGTGCAGCCCAGAAAAGCCAGGCGAGCTTGTTTTTATGACCTGGCTTAGTTTTAGCTACGTGTGCATCCCTGTTTACAAGACAAATTTGATCCCTGCTTCTGGATTATTGAAACTTCCATGTGTTATCATCTCTGGGCAACATTTATGAGATTTTATTGTAAAATTGCTTGTCAAATGACTATTACAGGTCAACTTGTTAACCTCAAACTTTTGGTAATTTAGGTAGCAGAGTGAGACTACATGTACATGTTAAAGCTATATTGAATTTTATATTTAATATTCAGAACACAATGTTCAGTTTCACCAACTATCTCAACTATGGGAAATAAAAAAAGTTTTCAAAGTTGTTCAGCTTTTGTGACACATTTACTGCTTTCTCAGGTTGAAGAACTCAAAACAGAAATGGATGTTGTTTCGGGTGAAGTTCAAGCGCAGGAAGAAGGCTACGAAAAACTTAAAAAAGTTGACCGAAAATTGTCTTCCCATCGTGGATGCAAAAAGGAGGATGTACAAGTTTTAGTAGAGGAGATACAAAGCATGCAAAGAACATTGTTTGTCAAAGAACAAGAGAAAAATGATCTGATACAAGCCTTGCTGAGACTCAAGGATAAGTTGTCACAACCTGATTCTTCAAATGAGGTGCGTAGTGGAGATTCTCTGATGCATGTGGGTATAATGTTAGCATCAATAGACAAGTGGTCACTGCTAACCTCTTTGGGTTGGCTTACGTTTGGCACATGACACCTGGGCCTAGTTTTTTGAAGGCTGGATAAAGCTATCTACCAGATAAACTGCTAGCCAGTGGATAAGTGTTACTATATCAAAACAAACCATGCTTACCCGCTGGATAGTGAGTTATCTGGTAGACAGCATTATCCTCCTTTCGAGCAATCCGGGCATGGGGTTTTGCAAGTTAACTGAAAGTAGTTTGCTGTTGGAATCAATTAATTAGTGGTATCAGAAATTAAATTGATTTAGCACTCTATTAATCTCAATAATGCAATTATTTCGTTTCAGTTATTTAATGAATTTATATGTTTGTTAAATTTATTTACCTACTTCTGTTTATATATGTGTGTATGTTTGCTTCAAGTCAACGTCTATCAGTTGATGACTCTCTTTGTTTTTGCCTCCACTGGAATATTTTGATGTTTTAAGGAAAAATAACATGTCAGCTGCATAATAGATGGAACGGAAAATTTAAATCAATGATGTTGTTGATGTAAAGAAAAGCAAATAATATCAAAAAGGTTTTTCGCTCGGACATAACAGGCAAAGTGTTTTTTCCTGTGGTCAAAAGGCATTTCCTTTTCATTCCTAAGGATTAAAAATAATCTAGATTGATGATAATCTCTTAATCGGCTATTAAATGAGCTTAAATTTAATTAAGATGGACAAAAATACTTGTTGAACAAAACAGGGACAACGCAATTCATGTAAATGGAAGTTGAGACAGCCATTAGCATTGTATATGAGGTTATAATGCAATCTGCTGTAAGCCAACTTAATTTGTCAACTGAGTTCATTGAAATTGGATGAGGGGATATAAAACACTTTCATTTAATTGATATATTTTGTATGTTGACTTTGACTTCTAACAAGTTTAATTTTCTGGTGCAGCTGTTTTTTATTATTATTGATGTAAGAACGATGTCAACAGCTTCATGTTAATAATAACCAAATATTCCATAGAATTGAGCTTAATTTGATAAGCTTATTTTACCAACACCTTAATTAACCTCGAACTTATTTGAAAAAAAAAAACTAACATAGTGCGTGTAGGTAATCTTAAATTTCATGTACAAATTTGTCATTGTGTTAAAGAATTCAATCAGCGAGGTGTTGATCTGTGCATTCCGCAATGCCTAAATACCAAGCGCCGATTGGAACCGTCTTTCTCTCCATTTGTAATGAACACCTCACCTTTATTCAGGTCAGAGATGACTCCACTGGTGTTGGAACAAGTATTGGATCCCAAACAGACCTCGGTTCAGACTCGGCCATTGAACAGCTCCCAAGACGGGACAAACAAGAATTAAGAGCAGAGTATAAAGAAGCTCTTAAACACGAATCGAAACTTCAAACCGCGATAACACGCCTGGACGAGAAAATTACCCAGGTCATGGCGGATGACAACAATTCCAGGCCCATGTTGCTTCAAGAAAAGGAAGTTCTGCTCGAAGAAATTCGTCGCCTGAATTCTCTTGTGAGAAGCGAAGGAGAAAAGGTAAGGAAACGTCTCCTCAGGCATGTTTTTCTGCAAAGTTCTTAGAGAGAGAGAATTTCGTTTCCTTTCAAAACTTTCGTCTTGGGAGAACCTCACACAACAGCCACCACTGGGAAATGCTGGGTCACGTGACATTCGGAGTTTTATCAAGCTCATGCGCGTTGCATTATGGGATAGCAGTGACGAAAGAACTTCGGATACAGTCGGAACTTCCCCGGAACGATTATGTATCTTACGATCTAATTGTACAGATTATGACGTTTATGCGAGAGTCCTCGGTCACGGCGGTTTCATTTGGTTGTTTTGCATTTCTGTTGAACTAACGTTTGCCTACCATTTCTTGCAGCAAAAACTTGAAGTGGAGAAGGACAAACTTGCAGCTGATCTCGACTCGGCTCGAGAACTTTCCCACCGAGTAATAGCTGACAGAATCCAGCTGCAGGCCGAGAAGTCGATGTTGGTTCACCAGCTTACGGAACAAACCAAACTGACAAACCTTCTGAACATGCAGTTGAGAAAGTAAGATTTTGTTTCTTTTGATACTTCTTATCCTGAACAGAACTGCCTTTGTGCAGCATAACAGCATGTACTACACGAAAGTCATGACCACGGCCCTTTATTATTGTACTCACAAACGGGTTTCATCCAATGACCTCAGGTAGTTAGAATCACCTTGTACATCGTAACAAACACTGCCGTATAAAAGCACTGTTCAGTGGCTTTGATGTAAATAGTCGCACGCTAAGATTTGGTCTACTAGCTTTGATTAAAGGCAGAACCACTCAGTAAAAGCTCAGTAAAACGTCAAACAGAAAATAAACAGCACTACTTGGAATTGCTCAATGGCTTTCATTTCCATGCGTTACAATGAGATTTTATCTACAAAACTGCCTCGTGCAGGGTAATCATTAGTGAGGGTTGGTTGGTGAACGCAAGACGTAATTTACACTCATTTGTTCGTCTTGACAGTATCTCGGGCAGCACCCCGTCAGTGTCTTCTTGCTCAAGCCGCGGATCGCTATCGTTATCTGGGAGCCGAGGCTCCTTATCAGCCTCAAGCCGAGGCTCCGTAAACTCGCTCAACTACCCCGACCTGAATCACAGTGGAGGAAACGACGCGTTCAACCTTCGCGAGCTCCATCAACGCGTCACTGACATGCTTCAAGGGATGTCCCGAGATCCCGCGTGTCAGCCGATCTATGAAGTGCGGACGACAGGTGCTGCTACAAGTTACACGCCCACTAATGGTCGAGCGAATCACCCCAGCGCCAGCAACTCGTCCCAGGTTTCGCTCTCGTCACGTGATTCGATTTCCTCAACGCACTCGCCGCCGATCTCTCCGAGTACTTCCGATCGTTCTGCGACACACTCGCCGGCCACTGCTCGTATAGTGGCAAGTGAGGGAGAGAGTACGGCTGGTCTGGATGGGACTGACTTGGAACGGAGCTCTTTGCCTCAGGTTTGTGTCATTCTTTTAGCCAAGTAATGCGCTTGTGAAAGCCAACGATCGTGAAAGAACTATCTGATAAAATTATTTACCCGCCCGCCCCCGTTTGAGGTTGTTTTCTTCAAGAATTTAGTGTCATATTATGCTTCCTACCCTCCCAAATCCAGCTCTCTTCTTGATTTGATTTGTTCTCATCTTTCTGCAGGCTGAAGGGATACCTGTCCAACAAAGACTTCGACTATTGACCGCAGACTCAAAATCAAGCGAATCGATCAACTCCATTCCGTTCATTCCGATGTCTCCCATCACGGAGGGAATCCCAGCGCTTCCGCTAAGACACTGCGAAATCCACCTTCCCCCGACCGGAACACGACCCGTCACAGCCGCTCCCTCGGACGAATCCGTGGCGGCGGACAGCGGAGTGTTCGACGCGTCGCAAGAGAATTTGAAAGCGGCGCAAAGAGGCGACTTCGACGAGGATGCTTCGGAGACTTCGCAAATCAAAATTGGGCTGAATTACGACGTGGATCGCGAAGCTCTGGTCGTGTGTATTGATCAAGCGAAGGGTCTCAAGGCTCTCGGCAACTCGACGCAGTGTAAGGCGGTGCTCGCGAAAGCAGTGCTTTTGCCGAGCGCGCCCAGCGAGAGCTGCCTCTTGGAAACGAAACCTTGTGATTACCAAGACAGCCCTGTGTTTGGAGAGCAGTTCCACATTCCTGTTCCCGAGGTAAGAGGAGCAGCAAACGTCACAATATCCACATGCAGATTCTCCGCAGTGGTATCGCTATAGCCTGCAGTGCAGGCGTATTATTGGCGCACGAATTAGGTTGCCATCTTGGATTTTGCTAGTCTCGCTACTTTCTTACAATACTATTTGTCAGAATTTGGACTGTTTCCTTGCAGTGACCATCTTCTAATACGCTTGACTGTGTAGTTTTACGCACAGGAGAATTTAGATCTTGATATCTGTTTTCTCTTGTAGAGCAAGCTGACCAGCAAAACCCTCCAAGTGAACGTCCTTATTGTTACCAACTATGAAACGGAAGAACTTCTGGTAGGTTGACGCTTTGACTTCTGCTTGGGAGGGGTGGGTCCGTAAAATTTACGAGAGCGACAGAGCGTCAGAGTCTGAAAACGGAAAACGGAAGATTATGTTCTGTAAGGCGTCAATCGCCTTTTTTCCAGTTAATTGACTACTTTTTTTAATTACAGGGTGGAGCGCAAATCAGTCTTGCTGATTTCGACATTCAAACTCCAGTGCGATTTCGATGGTACAACCTCTTGAGCTGTGCTGTAAGTCCGCATTTTAATTCGTAATTCTGCAGGTAGCTTACTACTGAAGATTAACGTATTCAGTACCCATTCCTTGGAGTCTTCCTAAATTTTGCTTTTGTCGTTTGTTATGTGCCTTGTTTTTCTCGAGTTAAAGTCCGCCCAAACGCTTTCAAGCATTGAATGGTACCCTGAAAACGACATTTCACGGTGCTGAATAAATAAACGACCGTCCAATTTGCATTGATTGGCATCTTCAGTATGCATGGCGTAAATATTGTCGGGCTTAACATGAATTTTGTTTCGCCTGCAGTTCTTCCAGTCAGCGGCTGCCAAGTATCAGCATGGCAAACGCAGTACTACGGCGCCGCCGATTGGCTCGCTATCAATGGACAGCGTTCTTGAGCCAAAACGAGGCGGCAGTTTACGACCAAGCTCATGGGTGAGTTTACAATCAAATGGCGAAGTAAAAAAAAAATAAAACTCTTTTTACTGATTGCATTTCTAACACACATTTACCCATCTTTCTTTTTAACTCAAACAGTGCGAAGGCTCGACATTTAGCTTGGAATCGGCGGTTGCTGGATTTGAACGCATGCCTTTTAGATCAGTTAGCCAAGAGGTGCTCGACCAGGTGGTGGAAAGTCTACCTGTCCGAAAACATACCGCTGGAAGGCCGGTGGAAAGGGCGCAGTCCCAGGGTGACAGTGTGATCAGCGGTGGGTCTCTTCAGGATAGAGACAGTGACTTTGATAGATCGCCCATGAATCGGCCCAGACCTCCGATGTTGAAGACTAAGTACTCGCGGAAGTTTTCCGATCCTCAACCTCTGGGTTCGTTCCCAGTCCACGTAAGTGTAGCATCTGGAATGGTTTACTCGGTGTTCGTTTAACTTCCAGCGCTAAGACGTGTAGAGCATGATTCGTCTGAGTTCTGTAGAGTTTTGAAAATTGGCCTGTGTAGTGTGATCGTCCGTGTGATTGACGTTTCGACAAGTCATCTTCGAAGTCAAGACTAGACTCCGAAGATGACTTCCGCTCAGGTTGTCGAACGTCAGCCACCAACAACAGTTATTTTCACACTATGCGAACTACTGATACTCCTGGGTTCAAACCGTTTACTAAGTTTTGAAAATTGTTGGTGCAACTTGGCAGAAGTCCAGGATTCTGGCCGGGGGAGTAAGCTCTGGTGGATCAGCATCCCATTTGGGGGTGGGGTAGGGTGGTAGTGGTAATACTCCTAGTCGCTTCGTACTACAGAAAAACATTTTCTCTTCATGATCTCTGTCATTTGTTTTCCTCTACAGGGAGTAGATGACGAATTGCCCATGATGTCGTTGAGCCGCCTGTTTTACGACATCAATTTAAACCGCAGCAATTCAGACTGCACCACGAGAAAAACAGAAGGCAGTCCATTCGTTAGAATGTCGGTCGAAAGAACGAGCATGCGAAGGAAAAAGGTAATTTTAATATGGAATGACCTAAACAAACTGCAATTTTAAATCTGCAAGAGTCAGAATTCAAAGTAGCGACTGAACGAAGTCGCGTCTTGAAACTTCCTCAAATCATTAACCATTGTTATTTCTTTTTAGTTAATTATTATCTCGATATTTGTCTTCCTGAAAAAACAAAAATTAAGGTCTGAGTTCTGTCGTGACATGAAGTTCCGTGAGTGTAAGCATCGATAGCTGTACTTATATATTCCGCTTGCCCAAAATGGCATCATTGGATATAACATTGGTCTTGTTTTCTTTTTCCACTTACAGCGTCCGATGTCATGGCAGGGGATCCAGACATACCAACAGCTCAACCCTCATTTGGAGGAAGGCCACGTGCGCACAGCTATGGATCTGGAATTTCACCTCGAAGCCTCTAAAGCAAAACAGGTTGGTAAACCATTACTGAGTCCAAACAAGTGAGGACAATGCCCCATATAGGCCTTATTACCAAGGGAATCCCTCTCAAGGTATTTCTACATCAGTTCCGGTTTCGGGAAACCCAGGACAGTCTGCAAATAGCCAATCCTGTTACGCGGATTTTACTTACGTGGACAGCCGGAGCGACTTTACACGCAATGTCATCCTCCACGAAAACATCCACGCATCGCGCGTGGCAAAATCCTCGGAAAGACTGGGACAGAACTCAATCCAAAAATAGCTTAATTGAAGCTTTGGAGGGATTACCTTGGTAATAATAGCTATGATGGGGAATAAACTCTTTGAGCCTTCATCCTCTGTTGGTCCCAAGCTTTAGTTCCCTCATAACAGACATAGGCTTTTCAGTATTGAAAAAGAAGCGTGAACAAAATCTAACGATTTTTGTACTCCTGTTTTCAGTTACAGGTAAACGATGAAATTCGAAGGTTATCCCACCTGAAAAAGCGAATCGAGGAAGCCATTGATGAGGGATCTACTGAGATTCCCAAGTGGCTCGAGGAGAGCGAAGAGTATCAAACTCTCCTGAGGGATGTAGAGGTTAGTCAAAATACGAACTCTCCTTAGCGATTGAGATAGACTTCGGTTTTATATGTATTGAGAATTTGGTTTTGCATCCAGTTGATGTCCGTTTATGGCGGTATCGTTATCATAAGGGGAAATTAATTGTCGAATATTCTTTTCTAACATACCATTGAAGCGCAATTTTAACATAAATTTCGCTTCCAAAATAATCTGGGGACGAAGTGTACTGCAAGAAAATACTATTCAGTAGCTTCCATTTGAATAGTCACACAGCGGGGTTTCGTCCACTGACTTGAAAGTTTGAACGAACTTGTTCAGCATAACTAACAGTGCTGCATGAAAGTACTATTCAGTAGCTTCCATTTGAATGGTCACACCCTAGGGTTTCACCAGCAGACTTAAAACTTAGAATTACCTTTTACTGCATCATAAACATTATCCAATGAAATTACTGCTCAGACTGCTTAGAGGGTTTCATTTGAATTGCCACACTCCAGATTTCCATGAATTTACAGACTGATAAGATAGACCACCCACTTTACATGACAAAGTTTGAACCTCAGGGGAGAGAAGAGTTGGCTTAATTCGCCAGTGTTGAAGATTTGAAATTGTTGTGCGTTGTTTGACTTGGTCTTTGCGTTCTTTCACAGGGTTTCAAAAGTCTGAACCTTCACGGCCACCGAGGAAGAAGCCCTTACTCGAGAAAAAGCCACAAGTCTTTAAGGTGAGCAGAATTTGGTGATAGAGCGGTTTTCCGACGAGTTTGTGTTTGCTGTGTGTTGGCTTTACGTATAAGATTGGCTAACTTTGAGGTTGGATAAAAATCATGTCCAGTATGCCTCAGCCTTTAAGGACGAGCGCGTTGAGTCAGATGCAAAGCTCTAAAAAACCGCAGCTTTTCGGCGAGCGCGGAAATGAGGGCGGTGTGTAAACGCGATCGTTCCAACCCCCCGCAGTTATTATTGTGCTTGCGGTCTCGACGAACTTTTATAACACAAAATAGACGTCCTCTGGACAGACTGCTCTTATACCCCTCATAGGACTTCTCGGCTTTCTCACCATCTACGGAACTTATAAGCGGCGTAGATCCAAATGAAAATAATTATCGCTTGTTTACACTGAGTGATGTCTTCTGGTAGGTACTTATAAGCCCAAGCTACTTTGTCTCTTAGATTTACTGAACGTAATATAGTCTAAGTTGTATGAAGAATTGTTTGGATCGTTTTTTTTTTTTTTTTCACCTTGTGTACCTTTCTCAACAACAACATTTTCCAGGTTTAGCTATTTCGATATGTGGTGCTAATTCCATTCCTTGACTTTGTTTTAGGGATAGACTTAATCCTCTTCCTCAGAAGCCAGTAGTAAAGTCGCCTGTCACGCCCAGTGTTAACGAACAACACTGGGTATAAAACACTGACTGAGGAAAATGGGAAAAGACAATGATAAGCTACAGAAATAGTGGAGTAACTAGTTTAACCCAGAGACGTTTTCGGTTTATGTAAAATAATTGCGTAGCAACAGACAAGAATTGTTTGTAGAAAGCGAGCAAAGTATAAAAAGGTATTCTTGAAATGAAATGTTGTGTATTTCCGGCGTCATATTGGCTAGTATTTGGCCACTGCAGCTACTGGTTATTTTTCGTGGTAGTGTTTAAGCTAAGTTTGGATTGAATTGTCATGAACTAAGAGCTTTCAAAAAGTGTAGTTTAAGTTATCTTTAAGAGAAACACTCTATAAAGCAAGCTTTGTATTTTTGTAGCTTTGTAACCTGAAATGGTATCTTGTATTTGGTAAGTTTTTGTATTATGCCGAGGTGACGTGTTTCCTTCCACTCTGATTGCAAAGATTTTAACAAATGCACATTATTCTTTTTATTCCATCGTAGTTGAGACCTTTTCAATCTCTTAAAAGTTGTGTTAAAATCTTAAAAAGTGAAGTCGTTTCTTGTAAATACTAATGTGGTAGAACAGTTAGACTTAATGGTAGGCCGATATTGTCTGCTTAACTATTAACCTCGGTATCGCCCAGGATGTCTTTGCGTTATCTACCCAGGTATATATTATCTGGTTAACAGATTTCTAAAAGCCCTTCTTAAGGAGGCACTCGACAATGTGCACATTAAAAGTGACAAATATTCACAAAATAAGCGACTTAAACACGTTATAATTGATGTCTTGCTAAATTCGAATATAAGCCCTACAGGTCAGTAATTTCTTAAAATTTTGTGTACCTAAATTTGTTCATACATGGGTTGTATATATTTATTTATTACCGTCATACACCTATATATTCCATTTGTGAAGAATAATATTTTAATATATGGCATTATGTACTCTGGATAACCTCTTCAAAAAAATGACCAAGTACGGTCATTTTGTTTGGTATATATAAATTCATTCGTTTCGCTTGTAAACGAATAAGGTAAATAAAGAGAAAGCATTATTTTGCAGAATATCAACTGAGTTTTCACGTGTTTGATTTTGTTCATGTTTAGATGGGTGGAAGTCAGATAAATAACTTCTAAAATAGGGAAGTCAGGAGGAAGTTTGCTTTCCTCCGTCTTTCGTTCCACGCGTAACACGCTCCAGAATCCAGATTCTCAATTTTACAGAGCACATGAAAGGAGCTACGTCACGGTTTGCTCATCTTGTAAAGTTTAGCCAAAATTTTTCAAGTTCGTCGTTTGTAATCTGTGTTAATCTTCTCTATCCTTAACCATCCTTGTTCCTTTATGGTTTATTATTATCTTTTCGGTGTTGTACCATCTTAGTTGACTACTAAGATAAATAACTCAAAATACCGTGACTGAGCTCCTTTAAAACAAGTATTTTGGCGAAGAAGTAGAAGATGTGGGGGAGGGCTCCATCCACGCCCAACTCACCCCCACCCCCTTCCCACCCCTTTGTACGACGGTGGAGGTATGTGTGTGCATGAACGTCCGAGGGATAAAACACGATATACCAGCAAAGACACTGCTGTGCATGTCCCTTGAAGAAGTGGCGTGTACACGAAAGAAAGAAAGACAGACAGTACTTTCGAAACCGTATAAACTCTTCCACTTTCTTCAAAATTAATTCCCGCGAACTAATTCACAGGAATAATTTTGTTACACGACCGTAGCGAAGAAACTAAGGAACTTAAGTTTCCAAAAAAGCACACTTTGCTTCTTATTATTTTAAATGACTTTATACACAGTTCGGTGCCCTTTTGATCGCGTTTTCTTGTCAGAGAAGCGGATCATTAGTCATGACGACAATGTCTCCCTTTTTGTTGCTTATTTTAAATATGGATTGAAAATCCCACACCTTTCCATCGTGAACGTTGATCGGACAGAGATAATCCCCGATATACCTACCCACATAGCCACCGCCCACTTGAAGAGTGTTTGGGGGCAGTTTATCACCCCGCCTCGCTTCAATCACGTCAAATCCGGTGTCCATCAGTAAATCTCCGCTCAGTTGTTTCGTGTATTCATCAAACATAGCGCGCCAGAAGTCCAACCGGCCATCCTTGGTTTCCACAAAGCAAAGCTTCCCTTCGGAGCGCCCGAAATACATTTGTCTGGATGAATTGACCTTATTGGCTTGCATGGCTTGTTCCGGAATAGGATCGCCTTGTGTATGAGGTATCCACAGTGGACAAGGATTCGATGGCTGAATATTGATGCCATTTTTGTCTCCCATAATGGCGACGCATCCGTATTCTGTAGGATCCACAAGCATGTCCGTCACCCACAAGTCATAACCATCATGAACCGAGGCGTACATCGGGGGACTGGCACGACTCACAACGCTGAACCGCTTGGGAATTCCAGGCTGCAGCAAACAGAATCCTGCTTGGATCAGAGTCGGAAATAGCCTTTCTTTTCGCTGCTTTTGAGGACTTCCTTCAATTGGTCCAGTAGGCCTGTTACCTGTAAGTTGTGTGTATGTCTCGGTGTCACCAAGCTTATCATCTCGCAGACGCACATAAAGGTGTTTAATGCCGCCAGTTTTGTTTGTCACATAGGTGTTGTAGGGGGCGGACGAACCTAATGAAGGTGATAAAACATAGTATTACCAGATCGACACTTGACACGCCTAGATGTTGAAAATACCGTAATGAAAACGTAAGATATAGGAGGTACTGAATGGTTGTCGGTTTGTCTGTCTTTTTGCTGGCCTAGTGGCTTGTTCGTCCGTTTGTCTGTCTATTTCTCTGTTTAAGTCTCTCTGTCTGGCTATCTCTCTGTCTTTCTCCCTTTCTGTCTCCCCGGTCCGGCCAGGTCGGGTATGGTGGCTCTGTGTATTTCTGCCTATCTGTCTGTCTGTCTGTCTGTCTGTCTGTCTGTCTGTCTGTCTTATCTCTCTGCCTTTCTGCCTCTGTCTGTCTGGTTGGATCAGGTTGGGTATAGTGGTCTGTTTTTCTGCCTGTCACTCTCTCTGTTTGTCTTATACTAGTAAATAACCTCTTGATAGGTCACAGTACCGTATTTTCTCGATTAAACGCCGGGTCCCGAATAAACGCTGGGTCTCCCACGTAGATTCGTAAATAGACTCTCAAGGAATTTATATTCGGGTTATAGTAAGCTTTAGGTATAATTATAAGATATTTTAAAGCTCTAAAAATAATGAATTAAAACGCCAGTAAACTCCAGGCTCGAATAAACTGCAAAAGTCTCTAAACGTCTGATCCTCGAGTCAAGTTTAAAATAAACGCTGGGGGCGTTTAATCGAGAAGATACGGTATTTTGATGAAAGGACCTTATAATGACGTCACAATAACATCGATAAAACCTCACTCGTTGATCATTCGTGGTCACTCGTACGTAGTCATTTGTGGTCGCTCGTGACCATTTGTGGTCATTCGTGATCACTCGCGTGAACTCGTGAGAACTTTTGGCTTTTATATATCCCATGTATCGCAAAACGTTTAACTTTGCAAATCACCTCGACTAGTCCCACAAACTGGAGGAAATGATTACGTGACAAACATGACATCACGTCATAAAGCCACTTCAACATTTATTTTATCTGTCACTGTGAACGTGAGCGATGTCAGTCAAATAGAACATTAATGATCTGGCTGAAAAGGAAAAATGTACCTTCGCTGCTTAGAAGCCTTGAGTAGATTTTAATGAGAAATATGAACAGTTAAGTCCTTGCTCTAAAATATGCTTTGTTATTTGATTGTTCAAACATCAAGTGTGCGGTAGAGCTGTAAAGCTCGACCTGAAGAAGAAATCAGAGAGCTTTAAAAACTGATTATTTACAAACATTGTCTTTTACTTACCTTTATTTTGGAATGAACTCCTAGAAGCGCCCATAGCACAAAAAAGCGAATTTTTTTTCAGATGTTTTTTCAGTGGAATTTCGGTTGCGCCATTTCTTCGACAAAATATCCGAGAGATTATGAAAGCGGGACTCTTCTACCAGGTGCTATAGACAAACGAAATAACCGCATGCTTGACACGGGGATTGACTTAAAAAAACACTTCGTGCAAACTGAAACAATGAGCTGTAGAGATACAGGTCAGTAATTGGTCACGAGTTCCCGTCACTGATAAGTCACAAGACAAGTCACGCACTTGTCACGGCTGAAATGAAAGCTACAATCCCAGGCGAAAATGCTACGATACCAAGCAAGTTGTCCCCTTTACCCCACTTACAACTAGGGAATCAGTTTTTTTCCATTTATAAGAAAAAAGACGTGGCATTTTCCAACATTGATCAGGGGTCGGGGGGAGGGGAGGGTGGGGGACACGTCATTCATTCTACTGAGACTGTAGGCCCTGAGCGTCACGAACAAACAGATGAATGCCGTGTCAACTCGACTTGATTGGTGAACACCAATCGAAAACTTCATTAATAACTTTGCGAATTAATAGCTTTTCCAGTCGTTGGTGTGGGATTTTTGTTTACCTCGATTAGACTTCCGAGTTTGGCCGCACTTTCAGCGCACACCGGGTAAAGCTCTGAAAGTAATGCGCCACCCCTCCCCCTGCCCTCAAAAGTAGCGATAAAATTACATACATACACACACTTAAGTTAAACTCGGCAAAGACACCAGTATAACAAGAGTGAGATAAAAAATAAAAAAACTGATTTGCATGTTGCCGTGTGGCAGTACGAGGAAAACAATAGGTAATTAACTTCATTTTTAAAGTTAATAGAACATCTAATGGCTCTGAAGTTAGATGGAAGGCAACATGATAATCTCTTGATGGAAGGCTATTCCACAAGTGTGCCCCAATGTAGCAGAAACTCCATTTCAAAAGGTCGGCCAGGGGCTTGGAGAAAGCTAATTTGTTTTCAATATTTCTAAGTCCATAGTCCTGCTGAAGGGTTTAAATAGGCCTTTCAGGTACTCCGGAGTCTGGTCATTCATAGTTTTAAACATTAATTTCAATTTTTGTTTTTTCCGTCTGATGTAGAGATTATCCCACCCTAGCTTACTGCGGAGGGCGGTAGCGCCAGAATGGTAATCACTCCTGGTGATAACGTTAACCCTAATTGTACTTTTTGTAATTTGTCGGCTAACTCGTTGTTGAGACCGTCCCACACAGGACAGCAATAATCGAAATATGGTAAATATAGCCCTATCTTGACATATGAACGGCCTCAACCTTCACCCTTTGAATACTAAACTTTAACCAAAAAATACCGTTTTTAACCGTTTAGTCAGGCTTTTTAGCCGCCATGACGCTAAACAAGCCTAAGTTTTGCTAAGAAAGCTTTTTTTTTACTAAAAGGAGAGATTTTTCGAGGATTAGGTACAAAATTGAGCAAAATTTCAATTCCGGGCATGCGNTTTTTTTTTTTTTTTTTTGCCATTAACCGTTCTCAATTTTGTTTGTTGCCCCTTTCCTTTCTGTTTTTCTCGGCCCTTTTACACTGGCTAACTTTTGCGTTGTATTTTCTTTCTGGCTGCCGTGAAAGTTGGATGTTAATTACTGGCGAAACCTAGAAATGGACCTTGATCAATCATAGGCGTAGTGGACCATTTTACCACCGTTTTTGCACCAAAACTGATAACTTTTTTCGATTTGCGACGTCGGAATGTCGTCGATATCTAAACCTGACCATTGTGCGGAAAGGCCTAGCCTAGTACTACGATCTGCTTATCAAGAATATCTGATGACATTTAAATTGATGACGTCATCAGTGGTACAAAGAGCACGACCATTAATTACGCATATATATGTGTAGTTGGTATTCAAAGGGTTAAAGTGCACCTATACCAGAGGAGATAACCTTAGCAATCTCATTAACACGTTTGAACCACGACAAACTTGATCTGCATTGACTCGGTATAGCTTGCATCGTCGGCGAACATTCGTTGCAAAGCTTTACTCGATGAGGGAGTCTGGCAAGGCGTATAAATCAGGAAAAGGAGGGGACCATTTAAAAGACTTGCCTGTGGGACACCGCAGGTAACAGCACGCGCACCAGATAGCTCACCACATCGACCAGACACTTTTGTAGACAATCACTTAGATGAGAGTCAAACCACTTTAGGGCCTTTTTGATCAATGCCATAGCTAGGTAACCTTCGTATAAAGAGAATCGTATGGTCAATGGCGTCGAAAGCCTTGTTTCAAATCTATGAATATCACACCATTTATAAGACCGTTGTCAATTTTGACAGAGCTTCAAGCAAGGACCCATGACTAAGTGTGCTATGAAGTTAAGTGATCCAAGGTCGGATTGAAAGTTGGCCAAAAGATCGTTCTCATTAAGATACTTGCCAAATTTATCGTCAATTATTTTTTCGAACACCTTAGCGACAGGAGTAATCAAAATTGAGCAGTAGCAGGAGCCATAATCGGGGACGGAGACCGTAAGTCTCGGGATTCACGCGCACCTATGATATGGGACAATTTTTCTATTTTTAGAACAAATTGCGCCATCCTGACGTCATATATCCGCGCGGATTCACGCACATGTCGGGGGCTCTCGCGTGGATGTTG